GTTCCCTGTTTGATTGTTGACCTTTTAGCTCAGTAAAGTATCATTTTATTTGTTTTATTATAAAGCAAGTTTATCGTTGTTTATTTTTACTATATATATTTTTTCATTTTTCAACTCTTTTAATGCTTCACTGTTGTGTGTATTTTGGTTTTATTGTGCATTTCCATCATTGTTTAGTGTTATTTGTTTTTCTATCTTTCAGAATTATTTCTACTAGTTTAAATGATTTATTGTTGCGTGTTATTGTTTGATAATATCTCTATTTTATCTTCTACATTTTCGTTGGCCAGTTGGAGTCTTATGGTTTGAGTTTTTTTTTTCACTTTTAAATTTATATGTATTTATTTTTAACGGTTTTAATATTGTGAGTAGTGCTCGTCTGCACGTCTATTTTATCTTCCTTGTTATTTTGGTCGGTCATAGATTTTGTCATGTTACTTTTACTTTTTCTTTTCTTTTTATACGTTAAATTTCAAAATTGTCCTTTTTTTGTTTTACAGTTTACATGATAAGTTCAAGTTCTTATCTTTAACTGATTACTTTTAAGTTTCATCTTATTTTATGCGGGAAGTGGTTCAAGATGGGCTGTACAGTCTTTCCACAACCCATGACTTGTCTAAAATTTATAATAATAATATACCGCCCTATAGAAAGCAAGAAGCAATTGCCAAATACCGAGGTTGAAACAGAGTTCAGTGCAGTAATTCAATGCAGTAATCTGCTGGTATGTCATCTCATACGCTTTGGAGTCTCTACGACCTTCACTTGGCACCGGCTATATCCATGCACGATGATCTGCAGAGCCTTGTAACCATTCGAGTGCACTTGTAAAGTCCTCTAAATTAAAGTAGTTAATTTACTTTTTAATTAAAGTATAGACCCATTCTCTAAAACCGTCGATTGAAAAGAAAAGAAACTGATAGGTCGCGAGAGAAGATACCAACCTTCTAAACAATGTTCTATTGGTGACATGCCAAGGATTACCAAAATATCGGTGGCGGTGGGTTGGGGGTGCACTGGGACCCCCATAGACCACGGACTATTGCCTCTGGGAGAAAAAGTTGAGGCGAAGCTCATGTCAATGTGATTGATAAGATTTGAGGGTGATTCGAAGGAACGGACAGGGGTGTTAGTCCTGGGGAGAATAGGGGAATAAATACCCCACCATTTTTTTGAGGGAGGGGGCATTGGATCATCCCGGTCAAGATGTTCGTGGTAAAAATTGTAAAAATATAATGTTGTAGCCAATTAAACAGTTAAATATCGACTCGTAAAAAAGCATGCTGCAGTAATTGAGGTTATGCGCTTATGAAACAGTGCCGCAAATGTGTCTTTATGCAGTGACACGTAGTGTCGAACGGTGTCTAGCCACCCCTCCCATAGGCAAGCCTAGCTTAAGCATTTGCAGAGTCTGGTAAGGTTTCAGAATTTTGGGATGTCAGCCCCCCCCCCCCCTGTCGTCCCAGATGTCGTCCATGCCACCATGGGGAGTCGGATATTAACTTGAGCATGTAGTGTCACATTTATAAGTAGTAAATCACTGAATTTCAAATATTCTGAGTCTTGAAAAAAATACTCACACTTTTTTCTGACTGAACGCTTCACATAGTTCATATCTGTACGAGGTTAGAGAAGTCATGGTTTCAACTATAACTGCAATGTATTAAACACAAGCTGATTTACCCGATCATAGATCGGGTAGGGCGTATTTGTGTTGGGGTTGAAAGTGTGGGGAGTTAAATGTAAATGGGGGATTTAGTTGAGAAGATATGTAGCTATAGAAAAGCAATTTACGCGATCTGAGGCAATTTCTGACCACGTACGATAGTAAAACAAAAGATCATCTTTTAAACATCATTTTCGAGTTTGGAGTCATTGAATCAGCTGTTCTGAGCAAAAGAATATTATAGTAGGCTACAATTTTTATTCGGGGAAGAAAAAGTGGGGGTAGGGAACCAAACGATATTGCCCGCTTTAAAATGTTGGGGTGGGGGTCCCCCGTCCCCCACCGATAGACGCCGCGCCCATGATAATTATGTACCATGGCATTTATAACTGTCTGTAAATTTTCCCGTTGGTCTGTTAAATTGCATTTTGTGAGGCAGTCGCGTTTGTTAATGTGGGAAAACTGAGTTGAAAGACTTACCGTATAGTACACAGGCGAAGGCTGATTGTACTGTTTTGACAATAAATCATAATGGAATAAAACGTGAAGGTGGCATTTGCAATAAAAATGTTGAGTGTGTTACCATAAAATTACATAGTCTGAATCATGGAGGAAGGTCATTATGAAGGTACAGTATTGGACTCTTCAACAAACGTAAACTTGAACTTCTTACAATTTGCGAGACCTGCGAGGAAAAAGCCGATTTAACTATTTTATTCAAGTTGGCATGGTTCAACCATAATATAAGCAAGGCCAAACAGCCAACAACCGCCAATATTATTATTTATGCACTCTTCGTTATTCCAACCCAACATAGTTCAAAGATCACAATATTTGAAGCAATGCATCGATCCCTCGTTGATTTACCCGATCACAGATCGGGTAGGGCGTAGAGTTGGGGATGAAAATGTGGGGAGATGAATGTAATTGGGGGATTTAGTTGAGAAGACATGCAGTTATAGAAAAGCAATTTCTGTGGTGCGATCTGAGGCAATTTCTGACCACTAAAACAATTTTTTTTTTAGCAAAAAATCATCTTGTAAACATCATTTTCGAGTTTGGTGTCATTGAATCAGCTATTCTGAGTAATAGAATCATTATACATGTAGTAGCTACAATTTTTATTCGGGGAAGAAAAGTGGGGGGAGGGGACCAAAACAGTGTCCCCCGCTTTAAAATGGAGAGGGGGGGGGGTGGGGTGGAGGGGTTCCCCGTCCCCCACCGATTGACGCCCATGATAATTATGTACCATGGCAACAGTCTGTAAATGTTCCCGTTGGTCTGTTAAATGGGCATTTTGTGAGGCAGTGGCATTTGTGGGAAAACGTACTTGAAAGGCTTGCCGTAGCACACAGGCGAAGGCTGATTAGGAAGGTCATACTTAAGTTTCAGTATATTTGACTCTTCAACAAACGTAAACTTGAACGTCTTACAATTTGCGAGACTGTCTGCGAGGAAAAAGTCGAGTCAACTGTTATTCAACTTGGGTCAACCATCTGTATAAGAGCAAATTTTACTCGGCCTCCGAGAAATGTTTACTCCTGAAACGATCTGAGACCGCAGTCTTTCGCGACGCCAAAATCGCTCCACGTCCGTGGAAAAATGTGGAGGGTGTCTTCCACCGGATCGGACACATTTTCGTCGATTTTTTGTGTGACTGCGTTTAAGATCGCAATGTTTGAAGCAATGCATCGATCCAATGCACAGGCCCCCGAAATTATAACGCAACACTGTGGCGGGCAGCGAACTCACAACGCTCAGCCTTGGTGGAAGCATGGAGTTGTATTAACACACGATGGAAGCAACAGAGCACTATACACGTCACATGCTTGTGCTTCAAATCATGCAAATAGCGAGCACCGTAGACCCAACCTCGTTTCCAGGGTGTGGAGCAGGCTGCAGTACGCGTTGCCATCGACAGTTTTGCATAGCCCGGAAATACTACGCAGTGTAGACTTACGATTGGTCAGACCGCGCAAGGCATACTTAATGTGTAGTCCTTCTGAGTATTCGTTGCAGTCGGCGCAGGGGCGGCAAGCGAAGCATACGAAAGAATAGGGGCACTTGGTGGCCACGCACCATGGAGAAAAAATATTTTACCAAAGTCACACCAACCACAATTTGGTGAACGCTTTTGCAGAACGGCCGAGTAGAACACGTAAACGGAATTCCTACGTCGAAGCCGCTGACCTCGCACAGTCCAGACACGCAGAAAAGCCAGCACAGGGGGCGGCCAGGCAGTCAACGTGAAAGCGCACACGACGGCAAATTCCTGCGCAAAATGCAGTCACGAAAAATAGACGAAAAGGATCGCCGGTCCGTACGGGAAAATCAGGACGACCCGAAGTGTCCGACCCGGCGCAAGACACCCTCCGTATTTTTCCACGGACGTGGAGCGATTTTGGCGCAGCGGGAGCCCGCGGTCTCGGATCCTTTCATGAGCAAACATCGTCTCGGAGGCCGAGTTAAACTCTCTCTTATATATATAGATGATTGTACAAGTTACAGTAAAGCTTGAGGGATAACAGTATTGTTTTTTCGTAGAAAGAAACTTTAGTGTCATGGCAGTGGATTGTCTCGTTTCACAAATCTGAATAAGTGGTGTTACAGATTTGTCATATACAAAGTAGTAATTAGCTATTGCTTTCGTTAAAGTTTGTTGGCTTTTTCTGCGGAAAAGCCTTTTTGTTCAGGATTTTTATTATTTTCGTTCAGGGTCAGATCCGGTGCATTCACATGGCGTATTCGAAACCACGTTCTCGGGTAACCTGCGAACAGTGTTCTCAGGTGGCCGATTACGAACGCCCAAGTGTGTGAGTGGAGTCCAGCTGAGCGAAAAATATGTCAGCCGCTGTATAACGCCGAATGAAAAGAAGGGACAATTAAGTGAATTAATACGAAAACAACTGAACTCCCGAAACAGCTATAAACATTGGCAAAGACTATGCCGAAAAGCCCACTCAATGACCACGTACAAGTGTATTATTTAATCATTACTATTACTCCTGCACTGAATGAGTGCTTTCAATTGTATGCACAAACATTAACGCCAATTCTGGTACTGGCAGAAATCCGCCATTTTTGTTCTTGACGTTCTTCATCTGCTCCCCGATAAGCGTGCTGGTTGTTATTCGAAATCCCATTCTCGAGTTCATTTAACACGACAACGGGGTTTCGAATACGCCCACAGTGTTAGTGACACAAGCCTTCATGGTGACTATAGCCTCAACGACATAAATTTCGTATCATCAATATGAATCGAGTCAGTGACGTGTGATTGACAACAAGCAGGGGCCAATCACAAACCGGTCCCAAATCCCTCAGTCAGTTTGCAAGTTTTAAAGCAGGTGAAGCCGCTCCACTCCTCAAATTAACCACAGCTGGTCTTCACATTCGGACCGCAACCCGATAGAGAACGCCTGCAAGAACAACATTTTGCTCGGTGAGTGTTTGAAACAGTCATTTCTTTTCTGCCGAAGAAAATGTGGTGTCTGTTTTCGGCATCCTTACGAAAATGTAGATATGGATTTTGAAAGTCCGTGAATCCATTCCTATAATTTCTTTCCTTTTCTAAATTTCCTTTTCGCAATACATTTACAATGTGGCTTCCAATATGGCTTTCACGAGGGCCGTATTTAGAACATGTATATAAGATGTACGAAGCGAGCCACTTGTACGGCGGCGCAGACCAGTATAGCTTTTTACAGTTAAAGCATTACTGTGCTTGTTTGGCCTTTGCGCCCTGCTTTTTTGACTTCATATTGCAAAAACTTCCAAATATCTTTGGAAAAATCATTCAACAGCCTCCAAGATAGATGTTAGTATAGGAATAATGTAATATAACACGGTAATACTACGGAAGCCCTCTCGTGCCAGGTTTTAAAAGTGAAAAATGTTGTTATCGCGAAATAACGCAATTACAAGATCAAACATAGGCCTACTGGTTTTCAGCACCCCCGCCCCCCTTTCAAGCAAAACCGTACCACGAAAAGAGCACAATGGATACAAGCGCAATGACCATACAGGAACTTCAAGAATATTTCATCAAAATGGACAAATAAAGGCCAAACTAAACACCCGGGGTGAAGTTTGTACACGACAGTATTGCGTTATTTCGCAATAGTGTTGCAAAATAACGCAATACTTTTGCGAAATAACGCAATAATGTTGCAAAATAACGCAATAGTTTTGCGAAATGACGCAATAGTTTTGCAGACCAACGCAATACTTTTGCGAAATAGCCTGCAGTATTGCGAATTGACGCACCAGTATTGCAAAATAACGCAATAGTTTTGCAATATAACGCAATAGTGTTGCGAAATAACGCAATAGTATTGCAAAATATCGCAATAGTATTGCGAAATAATGCAATACTGTCGTGTACAAACTTCAACCCGGGTGTTCAGTTTGGCCTATTTTGTGCATTTTGATGAAATATTCTTGAAGTTCCTGTCCGTCATTGCGTTTGTATCCATTGTGCTCTTGTCGTGGTACGGTTTTGCTTGAAAGGGGGGCGGGGTGCTGAAAACCAGAAGGCCTATGTTTGATCTTGTAAGAAAACGTTGCCAAGTTTTAAGTGATTTATTAAGGGAATAAATGTGTGCTCCAGAGGTTTTTATCACTCTGTTTAAGACCACTTAGAGTCTGGGTGCTTATAATTACCCGAGCCGGAAGCGAGGGTAATTATCAGCACCCAGACTCTAAGTGGTCTTAAACAGAGTGATAAATACCGACGGAGCACATATTTATTCCCATTCATAAATACCTTTTCGGTAAAAAAAAATCATATAATTCGTTCAAAACATCCCGATTTTGTTCAACAAATTCACTTTATGCTTTTTGAAACATCCCTCTAGCAAAATAATGGAGTGTTCAGCTGGCGAGTAAGATGTAAACAATAGATTGACGCGCGCGTATCATGTTCTGCGAGATGTCGCGCAGAACGCACCTGGCGCGTTTTTTAAGTTCTATATCTATGTCATAAATAACCATAGATATAGAACTTAAACTAGATCGGACGCGCGTTCGAACGCGCCATTCACTGTGCACAAAACTTCTGGGTTCTTCATGGACGCGCTGCAAAGTCACGTGAATAGGGCCACGCGCAAAGGGCAGCTGAGGAATGCTGGACGGAAAAATATCGCCAACACCCCCACCTGAATTCAGCTATGCGTTGAAGTTCTTAACAACAGGTTGACATTTTTAACTACGATTTTTGACAATGTGACATTTCATATTCCTTTGAAAAAGTTACACATGAGTTTGCCTCTGTGTCTTATTTGGGGCCAAATTGGCGATTGTGTTGAAGGTAATTGATTTTCAGCCAAGAATACTAATTTGTACCGAAAGTAGCCACATTGTGTTATTATATCTTTAACAAAGACAAATGTCAAAAGCGTAGTTAAATATCAACCTGTTTCATGAGATTTTCCCCTCTTTTTTAAAATGTGCAATAAAAATCAACCGTTACTTGCCTATCAGACAAAACATAAACTTTTAATTTTACCAACATCAAAATGAAATAACAGAAAATCATTTTGTAAATGAGCAACGATAAAAACGGGCACTCGAAGTATTGCGTTGCTTTAATAATAATAATAATAAATCTTAAAATTAATGTGGCCTGACGTTGCGAACTTAGCAAGTTCTTCTTCAGAGGCTAAAACAGAAATGACAGAGATACATACATTAACATGGGGGTGCACACAAACATGCAGGGCTGAAAGAAGAAACACAAAAGGAGGATTAGGAGGGAAAGGTGTGGAAAGATGCAGGGGAGGGTGGATGAGAGAACAAAGAAACAAAGGGAGATGGCAAACCACAAGGGGTCTGGTGTAAACAGGGGAGGGACCAGAAAGGGGAAGGATCAAAGGTCACAGGGAGTGGGAACGGACAAAAGAGTGTGAGAGTGAAGGGATGATGCGGGGGGGGGGGGACAGTATAGAGGTGGAAAGGGATGAAAGATGGTGGGAGATGTGTTAACACAAACAAGGAAGACCAGATGGATTATCTGTAACAGAGGACAATGGAGGAAGAAAAGGATTAATCATTTCCAAGTTGGATGTTGAGACCATGTGGTTGAATAGTTCGAAGACGATTCATCCACACCTTCTCTCTGCTGAGGCGAACTGACTCTTTGCGATGGCCAAGAGATTCAATGCCCTGCAAAATCATATCAGAAATGGAGTGGTTAGGCAGGTTGAAGTGATGACCAACAGGGGTGTCTAGTTTCTTGGTGTTGTAACATTTTAAACGTCTTTGATACAAAAATCCTTGCAAAATTATCACCTTCATTGAGACATACGTTCAAGTTATCAATTCCCAAGTCACTAACCCGGACAACTTCCCCCACAGGACTCATGATAATCTCCCCAGAGAGGAGCGCCTGGCTCTCAACTCCTTGCGCTCTCGCACCGACATCATCATCAAGCCAGCAGATAAAGGTTCAGCTGTGGTCATCATGGATCGTCAGCAGTACATTGATGAGGCCCACCGCCAGTTGGATAATCGCACTAACTATACCCGCCTTGACTCTGACCCCACAGGCACTTTCTGTCAAGATATACAACAGGTACTTGACGATATGCGATCACGTGACCAGTTGTCGAAGAAAGCTCACAAATTTCTTTCTCCCTGTGATTGTAGGACTGCCAGATTTTACCTGCTACCCAAGATTCACAAGGCTGGCAACCCCGGTAGACCCATCATCTCCGGTAATGGCTCACCCACGGAACGCATCTCCCTGTTCATTGACAGTTTTCTCAAACCCCTTGTCCCACAGATTTCGTCATACATTCACGACACCCCAGAGTTCCTACGCAAGCTTGAAGGAATCAAGGACCAGATTCCCAGCACAGCCATCATTGGGACTTTCGACGTCTCATCTCTGTACACCAACATCCCACATGAGGAGGGAGTTCGTGCTTGCTCCTTGGCTCTGGCCAAGGCAGGACACACGACTCCTCCCATCAGTGATGTTGGCACCCTCATGAGACTTATACTAACGAAGAACAATTTTTCCTTCCTTGGTGAACACTATCTACAGGTACACGGCACTGCAATGGGCACTCGCATGGCCCCGTCGATGGCTTGCCTCTTCATGGGCGACCTCGAAGAACGCATTCTTGCCTCGGCCCCATGTCGCCCTTGGATCTGGTGGAGATATATTGATGATGTTTTCTTCATCTGGACCAGTGATGAGGACAGTCTCTTGACCTTCACTAACCACATCAATTCCTTCCACAGAACCATCAAATTCACATCGGAGTTCTCGGCTCACCAAAGCCACTTTCTGGATGTCACCGTCCGCAAGCAAGGCAACTCACTAACCACTGACCTGTATTCCAAACCCACAGACACCCACCAGTACCTCCACTCCTCCAGCTGTCACCCCAGGCACAGCAAAACTGGCATAGCGTTTAGCCAGGCACTCAGACTCAGAAGAATTTGTTCTAATGATTCCGATTTCTCCCGCCATACACAGATACTGAAGAACAACTTGGTGGCCAGGGGTCACAGCTCTCGCCAAGTTCATCGTGCCATTGCCAGAGCTAAATCTATCCCCAGAAATCAAGCTCTCACGGCTAAGGCCCCTGATGCCATGGCCAAACCCATGATTCCCTTGGTTACCACGTTTCACCCCAATCTCCCTCCCCTCCGCAAAATCACTAATGACAATCATCATATCCTCCATACTTCAGATCGCCTTGCCCGCACCATCCCCAACGGCCCCACATTGGCTTACAGGCGTCCTCGAAATCTACGGGACTTGATTGTTCGAGCTGAAGTCCCATCCTTAGATGCATCCCCTCCCACCCAGCATGGTACTTTCAAGTGCAGTTCCAGATGTGTTGTCTGCCAGATTCATATCCAGGAGTCTGACTCCTTTTCTGGCCACTCTTCTGTCACTACCCACAGAACCATTGGTAACATCACTTGTAACACCTCTAATGTCATATATCTCATTTCTTGCAGGGTCTGTGGAGTGCAGTATGTAGGTGAGACTAAGAATACGCTCAAGAAGCGTTTCTATGCCCATCGGTCAACGGTCAACACCAAGAAACTAGACACCCCTGTTGGTCATCACTTCAACCTGCCTAACCACTCCATTTCTGATATGATTTTGCAGGGCATTGAATCTCTTGGCCATCGCAAAGAGTCAGTTCGCCTCAGCAGAGAGAAGGTGTGGATGAATCGTCTTCGAACTATTCAACCACATGGTCTCAACATCCAACTTGGAAATGATTAATCCTTTTCTTCCTCCATTGTCCTCTGTTACAGATAATCCATCTGGTCTTCCTTGTTTGTGTTAACACATCTCCCACCATCTTTCATCCCTTTCCACCTCTATACTGTCCCCCCCCCCCGCATCATCCCTTCACTCTCACACTCTTTTGTCCGTTCCCACTCCCTGTGACCTTTGATCCTTCCCCTTTCTGGTCC